CCCACTAGGGGCAGACGCCGCGCCGACCGACTCAAGACCAAGCAGGTCGGCAGCAGCAGCAGAGGCAACAGAGGGCAGCAAGGGGGAAGGAGAGCACCCCTCAAAGATGGGGGTGCGAGGGTCACCACGAGAAGCACCTACCGCGACTATGCTCTTCTCCGCTGCGAGGAGGGCCTTCTCGAGGAGGTCGGCGGTGAGGGTGGTGGGACAGACTGCGAGAAAGTGGTCCCTAACGACGCGAAGGGAGTCAGGGAGGCGCGCGACTACGTAGTAGAGAGCGATGTACATGGGGGGGGGGGGTTCTTAGCGCAGAACTCAGCAGGAAGGGCGGCGCGGTAGCGAGTGTCACTAGTGCGGAGGTGCGTAATGAGGTCAGCGACAGTGGGAAAGGCAGAGAGGTCAGGAAAGAGGTAGGGAAGCATGAGACGGCTCAGTGCAGCAGTGGCAGGGGAGGAGTAGCGCGCAACTACAGCGTCGTACAAGGTCTGAGCACTCTTGTACTGACTAAAGTGCGCACGCTCAGAGGTAGGGAGGTGGCGACGCACAGCAAGACGTGCAGCAGCATCGCGGGTGGCCCACTTAGAGCGGACAGTGGGATCAGCATCAGCAGCAGGAGCAGGAGAGGCGCCAGAGGTGAGGTCAAAGAGAGAAAGGTCGTCAGCCCTGTCGCACTGTAAGAACAGCTGCAGGTCGTCTAACCAGACCTCAAAATCAATGGCGCGACCCTCAGCGTCAAAAGCTAGGACACTAGGGGTAGCCATGGCGACGACAGCGACGCAGTGCAAGCAGTAGGGAAAGAGCTCGCAGTGTCAGTGGGACTGTGCTCACCAGGCACGGCAGGTCGTGCAACTATGCAGAAAGGCGGCTCAGCGACCGGGCGCCACGGGTGCACAGCGGCTCGGCTCCCGGGCGGCTCGGCGCAGGGCGGCTCGGCTCCCGGGCGGCTCGGCGGCAGGGCGGCTCGGGTGCAGGGCGGCTCGGCTCCCGGGCGGCTCGGCAGCAGGGCGGCTCGGGTCCCGGGCGGCTCGGCGTTGGGCGGCTCGGCTCCCGGGGGGGGGGGTTCAGCTGCTGGGGCGGCTCTGCTGCTGGGGCGGCTCGGCCGGGAGCTGCAGGGGCGGGGCCGTCAGGTGCAGCGGCGGGTCGACCGGTGCAGCGGCGGGCCGGCAGGTGCAGTGGCGGGGCCGTAGGGTGCAGCGGCGGGCCGACCAGGTGGGGCGGCGGGCCGTAGGGTGCAGCGGCGGGCCGTGGGGTGCAGCGGCGGGCCGGCAGGTGCAGCGGCGGGGCCGTCAGGTGAAGCGGCGGGCCGCTGGGTGCAGCGGCGGGCCGGCAGGTGCAGCGGCGGGCCGGCAGGTGCAGCGGCGGGCCGGCAGGTGCAGCGGCGGGCCGGCAGGTGCAGCGGCGGGGCCGTCAGGTGAGGCGGCGGGCCGTAGGGTGCAGCGGCGGGCCGTAGGGTGCAGCGGCGGAGCCGGCGGTGGGGCCGCGTCAGGGGAGGCGGCGGGGCCGCGTCAAGCAGGCGGCGGGGCCGCGACGAAGCGGGCGGCAGGGCCGCGTCAGAGCCGGCGGAGCGGGGCCGCGTCAGTGGAGGCGGCGGGGCCGCGTCAAGCAGGCGGCGGGGCCGCGACGAAGCTGGCGGCAGGGCCGCGTCAGAGCCGGCGGCGGGGCCGCGCCAAGCAGGCGGCGGGGCCGCGATCAGGAGGGGTGGCGGGGCCGCGTCTGAGGGACAGCGGGGCCGCGAGGGAAATGGCGACCCGAGGGGTCGCTAAAAAAAAGGCGCGCCTCGGGGCGCGCTTCGGTGGGCCCTAAAAAAAACGGTCCTAAGGAAGGACTTGCTCTATACCATGTGAAAACAAGTGAACAGGAATGAAATGACTAAGTCAGGGTTGGGTACAAATACAACCCTAGAAAGCTGTACCCCATATGTGCTACCCCACTGTAGCCTACAAACATGCATCAACTATGATAATCTGACAGAATTCCACGAGCCGACGGGCTTCACGAGGCTCCCGCGGGCTGGGTACGACCCTGTTTCCTCCCATGCCAGGCATCGGCTGGGCGGCGCCATCACTGGCTGCACCTGAGCGCTGTCCCACGCTGTTGTTTTGTGTTGGTGTGCTGGATGAAATGACGATCGGCTCGTCCGATTGTGCATATGCATTTGTCGGTGCGTGTGGTGGTGCGGGAGTGTTCACCGTTGATTGCTAACGCGCTGAGTCACGTTCCGTCGTGAGCGTCGCGATTTCGAGCGCCGAATCTTCAAGTTGGCGCACCAGGCGGTCGAGCTGCTCCTGCGTCAATGTTGCGAGCGTGAATTCGGCCATGGCGGGGGTGTCAGGCAAGCTCAGCGAGAGCCTCTGTCGTGGCCGTGCGTGCTTCCGAGAGAGCATTTCGAGCGGCGGTGCTGTGCCGCTGAGAGACGTCTACCCCCTCCAAAAATTGAGATAGTGAGGAAGCGAAGGTCTGGGTGCGGTCCGAGAAGAGATCGTAGGCTCTGAATACCAAGTGTTACGAGTGCAATTGAGCGAGCGAGCTAGAATTGCACTATCGAAACAAGAGTACAATGAGCGAAGGCATGAGCGAAGAATATATAGCGAAACTACAGTGGTAACGGTAATGGACTGTGGTTGTCGCGTGACGGGCCTGGGACTGAGGTTGGGAAAAGTGTCGAAGTGGAGGCCCGGAGTGCGGGTTACCCGCCGAAGCCGTGAGGTCGGGGTGCGACGTGCGAAGGTGGCGGGAGGATTGTCGATGCTACAGTTGCGAGTGGTAACGGTGCTGAGCGGGGACGCGAAGTAAGGATAAGGAATTTTCCTTACACTAGGCCTTATAAAACGGTCACAATTATAACTTGCGAATGAGATCATCGTTGATTCCGTCGTCGCAACCGGGACTTCTTGTGGTACGTACAAATTCCACCTGTTGTGCCCTCTCTCGACTTTTCGACAGCGTGTGACTGGCCGTCGTCCACTCTGTCTGTCTCCGTCTCCCTTCCGTCACATCTCTGGTTCACTTCAGACAGACAGGATTTCCTTCATTTCATGCTCCCAGACAGCCCCAAACCAAACTCTATCCAAGTGAAAAGCTAGCTATTCCACAGTAGCATAGCCTCTCAAACAGAACATTAGTGCCCTAGATTTCAAGCTCGTAGCTGCTGGTCAGGCGATTTTCCCTGTTTTGGGTTTCCCGCATCGTTGGCAAGTGTTAAGCATCGAAGCTTGCCCTAGAAGGCGTGCTTTCTTAGAGCGCGTGTGTCTGCTGATAGCAACTTTAGGGTTTCTGGAGCAGTTGAAACAGGATGGCTGCTGTTGCAGCGAACAGCAATCTTCCGAGAAGAATAATCAAGGTAGGAATACAGTGGCGATTGCTTGACACGTTTATCTCAGTGCCATTATTATAATAGTTCTTACATCATTATTCGTTTTGCCATGTTGTCTTCAGGAAACTCAACGACTGTTGAGCGAGCCTGGTACGTGATCGCTATGATGTCGCTTTCACATCGCTTTCGGTTTACTTGTTAGGCGTCCGTCTTCTCGGCTTGCCTGAATTTCTGACGGATGTACTCAACGTGGCTGCAGCTCCGGGTATCAGTGCATCACCTTCGGAAGAAAACCTTCGTTATTTCAATGTGATGATATTGGGGCCGTCTCAGTCTCCTTATGAGGGTAAGCCGCTGCGTAGTCAAGTCCGTCTCTACTTAGATAGCAGTGCTTCAAAACTTTCATCTGAGTCGTCGTGGGGCTGTCGCAGGTGGAATCTTCAAGCTCGAGTTGTTCCTACCCGAAGAGTATCCTATGGCCCCTCCGAAGGTATCTTTGATCTTCTTTCGCCTTGTAGATAGCTTGCAGTTTTGATTGCTAATGCGCCTGTGAGAGTCGGAATTCTGCAGGTTCGTTTTCTCACAAGAATCTACCATCCAAATATCGATAAGGTACAACCTGCTGGTTACATGGAGCAAGAGCATCCGTTCATTACATGCATGGAAAACTCATACCCTGTCGTCCGTCCTTCCACAACAGCTTGGCCGCATCTGCTTGGATATTTTGAAGGACAAGTGGAGTCCAGCTCTTCAGATTCGAACAGTTCTGTTAAGGTGAGATGTCTCTTTCAGCTGACGAGCATGTAGCACAACCCTTTCTTTCTCGGATGCTGGTTGCTGAAGGTGCTATTTATTCGACTATGCAGTATCCAGGCTCTGCTGAGTGCCCCAAACCCTGATGATCCGCTGGCTGACAATGTTGCTAAGCACTGGAAGTCAAACGAAGCAGAGGCAGTTGCAACAGGTAATTAGTTGTTTTCATGTGTTGCCTGCGTAGTATTTGCGTTCCCGTTTCTAACTTGTACTTGTGTTTGACCTGCTACCTAACTTGCAGCTAAGGAATGGACACAATTGTATGCCACGGGAGCCTGACGGCTAGAAGTTAGTGAATATTGCAAGCCATGGAGCATGTCAGCAACAGTGGGGTCAAATCTTCTCATACATGTACACTTCTGGAGGCAAGGATAAATGAGAGTTAGGATTTACTGACAGGGACGTAGATTATATCAGAGACTAGAAGTGGAATTTCCATGTAAATTCGTACCAAAATCAGAGGTACATTGCACATGTTTTACAAGTGAAAATATAGTCACCCGGAAAACATGGACCCATCCACAAAACTGGTATACTTGGGGTACAGATCACTTGAAGTGCACTGTACAAGCTGTAAATCTTATCACAACTACCATATCAAGCTGTACAAATGTACAAAGCAACTAGTGGATGACAACATTTTTCCCCACCACCTCCCCTCCTCTCAACCAGAACAAATCCCACCAACCCATCCCATCCCACCAGCTGGGCCAGCAGCCCTCTCTAGTCCACCCACAATCTTCCGAACCTTCTCCCCACCAGCAGCAGCAGCCCCAACACCACACATAGGCTCATCCCCACCCATCCTACCAGCAGACCCTCCCCCATCCCCCTGATACATGCGGGAGAAGATAGGCAAGCATATTCACACTCTCTAATCCACCTCCTCGATCTTAGGACCCTTCTCGCCACCAGCAGCACCACCAGGACCAGCACCGCCCATCGGCTCATCACCACCCATCCCTCCTCCTCCCCCTCCCTGCTGATACATGCGGGAGAAGATCGGCGAACAAATCCCTTCCAGCTCCTTCTGCTTGTCCTCGAACTCATCCACCTCCGCCAGCTGGTTGTGATCCAGCCACTCGACGGTGCTGGTAACCGCATCCTCCACCTTCTTCTTGTCCCCTGCTGGGAGCTTGGAGCCCACGTTCTCATCCCTGATAATCACAGATGCAGGTGGGGGGGAAATAGTCAGAATGAGTGGCCAGCTAGTTGTGGTCCAGCCAGTCGACGGTGCTGGTAACCGCATCCTCCACCTTCTTGTCCCCTGCTGGGAGCTTCGAGGCCACGTTCTCATCCCTGCCCATTACGGAAGCAAGAAGGGGGAATAATGTAAGAACATGAGTGGCCAGCTGGTTGTGGTCCAGCCAATCAACTCACCTCTTGCGCGACTCATGCCTTGAGCTGCTCCCAAGTCACAACCAAGTACCGGACAGACCACCGTACATACTCAAAACTCACCGGATGGTGTTCCTGATTTGTACGTATAGTTCTCAAGAGCATTCTTCGCTTCAACCTTCTTCTTCACCTGCTCGTCCTCCTCCTTGTACCGCTCTGCTTTTCATATTCACTATCTCCCTCCCCCTTTCTCCTCACCTAACCTCTTCACCTGCTCCTCCTCCTCCTCGTACCGCTCTGCCTCCCGCACCAACCGCTCTATCTCCCCTCCTTGCTCCCCACCAAACACAACTCAACTCCCTGAACAACAATAAACTCACTAGATGCTGTTTGTGCACTGCTCCCACTTGATTACCCAGACCATAGTAACTCTTAACTCACCGGATGATGTTCCGAATGTTATAAGTGTAATTCTCGAGAGCATTCTTTGCTTCAACCTTCTTCTTCACCTGCTCGTCCTCCTCCTTGTACCGCTCTGCTTCCTGCACCAACCGCTCTATATCCTCCTTGCTCAACCTCCCCTTATCATTCGTGATCGTGATCTTATTCTTGTGCCCAGTCGTCTTATCCTCCGCGCTAACGTTCAAAATCCCGTTCGCGTCAATGTCAAAAGTGACACTAATCTGCGGGATCCCCCTCGGCGCCGGCGGGATACCCGACAGCTCGAATTTCCCCAGGAGATTATTGTCCTTGGTCCGAGCCCGCTCCCCCTCGTACACCTGAATCAGCACCCCCGGCTGGTTGTCCGAAAACGTCGAGAACACCTGCTCTTTCTTCGTCGGAATCGTCGTGTTTCGCGGGATCAGCACCGTCATCACCCCTCCGGCTGTCTCGAGACCGAGGGAGAGCGGAGTCACATCCAGCAACAGCAGGTCTTGCACGCGCTCGCTGCCCTGACCGGTGAGAATCGCTGCTTGCACGGCTGCGCCGTATGCGACGGCCTCGTCGGGGTTGATGCTTTTGCAGAGGTCCTTCCCGTGGAAGAGGTCTTGCAGCAGCTGCTGCACCTTGGGGATGCGGGTAGAACCGCCCACGAGAACGACATCATGGATCTGGGACTTGCTCAGCTTGGCGTCTGACAGACACTTTTCCACCGGCTCCATGCTCTGATGCCCATGGGGGGGAGGAGGACAGAGGTAAAAACAGGGAGGAGAGGAGGAAACTGAAATGCTGCTCTACCCTCTCTCTCCCTCTACTCGCTTTTGCAGAGGTCCTTCCCGTGGAAGAGGTCTTGCAGCAGCTGCTGCACCTTGGGAATGCGCGTGGAACCACCGACCAGCACCACGTCATGGATCTGCGATTTGCTCAGCTTGGCATCGGAAAGGCACTTTTCCACTGGCTCCATGCTCTGGTGTGTCAAGGGCGAAAGAGGGCAGTACAGAAGGGGATAATTCCTTCCCGGTATTGGAGCAGCTGCTGCACCTTGGGATGCAGGTGGACCCGACCCGCCGACAAGAGCAGGGGAAGGGGAATGCAGGTGGAGCAACCCACCTGTGGATTTGGAATCTGCTAAGCTTGGTGTCTGCGAGGCATTTCTCCACCGGCTCCATGCTCTGATGGGGTGAGAGGGTTGGGAGCAGGAGAAACAGGAGATTGGTAAAGAGAGAGAGAATGCGGGTGGAGCCACATCCTCTTTCTGGTCGATCTCGATGGTCGTCTGTGCCGTGGAGGAGAGGAGAGGGTGCGCTTGCCTATCTATCTTACCTCGCTATTCCTATGAAACGCATACCTTCCAGAACAGGTCCATGTTGAGCTCCTCGAATCGAGCCCGGGTAATGGTGCTGTGGAAGTCAATCCCCTTGTACAGGGACACAACACACTAACAGTCGCCCACACCGCTCACAACCCGGCCTCACCTTCCAGAACAGGTCCATGTTGAGCTCCTCAAACCGCGCCCGGGTAATGGTGCTGAGGAAGTCGATCCCCTCGTAGAGAGAGTCGATCTCGATGGTGGTCTGTGCCGTGGAGGAGAGGGTGCGCTTGGTCCTCTCCTCTCTCTCACCTCACCTTGCCATTTCTCTGAGGCGCTTACCTTCCGGAACAGGTCCATGTTCAGCTCCTCGAATCGAGCACGAGTGATGGTGCTGTAGTAGTCGATCCCCTCGTAGAGAGAGTCGATCTCGATGGTCGTCTGTGCCGTGGAGGAGAGTGTGCGCTTGGCGCGCTCGCAGGCAGTCTTGAGGCGGCGAATAGCGCGGGGGTTGCTGCTGATGTCCTTCTTGTGCTTGCGCTTGAACTCCTGAGAGTGGTGGGGTGGGGTGGGGTGGCAGGGGTAATCAAGTGAAGGATGGAGAGAGTGGGAAGGGGTTGCTGCTGATGTCATTCGTGTGCTTGCGCTTGAACTCCTGTTGGTGGGGGAGGGGGTGTGTGGTGGGGATGAGGGAAGGGTGGGGGGATGACGGCAGGGTGGGTTGGGAGCAAGGGTGGTCACGCAGTTTAGAGGCAGGGAATGGCGCGGGGGAAGCTGCTGATGTCCTTCTGGTGCTTGCGCTTGAACTTTCCACACCAGCGACGACCATCTCACCTGAAAGCCTTCAATCACCTGAAAGCCTTCACTCACCTGAAAGCCTTCACTCACCTGAAAGCCTTCACTCACCTGAAAGCCTTCACTCACCTGAAAGCCTTCACTCACCTGAAAGCCTTCAATCACCTGAAAGCCTTCACTCACCTGATAGCCTTCACTCACCTGAAAGCCTTCACTCACCTGAAAGCCTTCAATCACCTGAAAGCCTTCACTCACCTGAAAGCCTTCACTCACCTGATAGCCTTCACTCACCTGATAGCCTTCACTCACCTGATAGCCTTCACTCACCTGATAGCCTTCACTCACCTGATAGCCTTCACTCACCTGCACAACGAAACTGACGAGCCTGTCCAGTGGCCTTCAACCCCCCCTCACCTGCACAAAGAAGCTGACAAGCCGGTTGTCAAAATCCTCCCCTCCCAAATGCGTATCCCCGCCGTCACTTTCATAGATTCAAGTCGCCGCCGAGCAACCTCACTTAGAATTCACCTCACCTGCAACCCCCCCCCCCCCCCCCCCCCCAGCTGCAACCTTCACTCACCTGCACAAAGAAGCTGACAAGCCGGTTGTCAAAATCCTCCCCTCCCAAATGGGTATCCCCCGCCGTCGCCTTCACCTCGAAAATCCCCTCCTCGATACTCAGAATCGACACATCAAACGTCCCGCCGCCCAGATCAAAAATCAGCACATTATTCTCGCCCTTGCGGCTTGCCTTCTTATCCAACCCATACGCGATAGCCGCCGCCGTCGGCTCGTTAATTATCCTCATTACATTCAGACCCGCTATAACGCCCGCGTCTTTCGTCGCCTGCCGCTGCGAGTCGTTGAAATAGGCCGGGACCGTCACCACCGCATCTTTAATCTTCTTTCCGAGAAACGTCTCGGCGATTTCCTTCATCTTGGTGAGAACCATCGAGGAAACTTCCTCGGGTGCAAATTGCTTGCGCTCGGCCTTGTATCGGACCTCTATCATGGGTTTGTCCCCGGGACCGGAAAAGACCTTGAACGGCCAGTGCTTCATGTCGGCTTGCACAGTAGGGTCCGAGAAACGCCGCCCGATGAGACGCTTGGCATCTGAAGCGCAACAGAAGGGGAGGGGAAAGGGGGGGGGGGAGAAGGGGGAGCGGAAGGGGGAGGGTAGAGAGGAAGAGAGGAAGAGAGAAAGGGAGGAGGCAGAGGGTAGTGAATCCCCCTTGTATCAGACCTCTATCATGGGTTTGTCCCCGGGGCCGGAAAAGACTTTGAATGGCCAGTGCTTCATGTCGGCCTGGACAGTAGGGTCCGAGAAACGCCGCCCAATGAGACGCTTGGCATCTGAAGGACAAGAAAGAAGAAGAGGACAAAGAAGAGGGGGAGTGGGGGTGGGAGAGGCCGGGCAGGAAGGGAGCAGGAGGGAGGGGAGAGAGAGAAGGGGAAAGAGAGGAGAGAGGGGAGGTGAGGAGGAGGGGAAGAGGAGGATACTGGACACCTTAGTATTACTGCCAGTTCAGTCTTTTGTACTGGACTTGTATCATGGGTTTGTTCCCGTCCCGGGGCCAGATAACACCTTGAAGGGCCAGTGCTCATGGGTGAGCGAGAGGAAGGGAGGAGTAGAAGGAGGGGGGGTGCAGGGAAGGGAGAGGGATGGTGGGGATGAGGACTACTATCAGTCAAAACTTCTGTCGCCTGAAGAAGGAAGAACACAAATAAACGAACTGATCTGGAAACAAATTGTAGATGAAACTAATAATAGGCTGCTCTGAGCATCTCAGATTAGCTATCACCGGCACCACTTACCACCACACTTGAGAACCGGAAGGTAGACAAAGCATCGCGCCACTTGCCGGGTAAAAAATCACAGACTACCACTAAGCATCACCCTTACCAAAAACCGTATTGGTGGAATTCATAGCCACTTGGTTCTTAGCAGCGTCGCCAATCAGCCGCTCAGTGTCAGTGAAAGCTAGAAGCGACAGATAAACCTGCTGTAAGCACAACAAATACCAAACAAACTTACCAAACACCGTGTTGGTGGGGTTCATAGCCACTTGATTTTTAGCAGCGTCGCCAATCAGCCTCTCCGTGTCAGTGAATGCTACAAACGAGGGCGTGGTGCGGTTCCCCTGGTCATTCGCTATAATCTCAACCCGGTCATGCTGCCACACGCCCACGCAGCTGTACGTTGTGCCTAAATCGATGCCTATGGCCGTCTCGCCGCTCCCCGGCATGATGGCGTGACTGTATCGAACAGACCGTGGCAAAACGGACGGACGGAAGCGACTTGATGCTACAAACGGAGCTGCTAGTAAGGAAGATCAGGAGAAAGGCGTACTATCACGGTACAAGCGATTGTCCTCGGGAACTTCCCGTGGTCGAGAGCAAAAAATGGTCGAGAGCAAAAAAAGGTTGAGAGAGCGGAGACACAACAAACGAGCGAAGATCCCGTGGTGATACAAAAAGTCAGCCACGAAAGAACCAAGTATTCACGACACAGATAGAGAGAGAGGGCCCATGTCGCCCGAATCGCGCTAGGGATCTCGTGACTCGGGCCAGCAATCTTGCGACTCGGGCTAGCAATCTCGCGACTCGGACGAGCAATCTCCCTCGAAATCAAGAAGCCTCTCGAACAGTGTAGAAAGACTGCTGCATGCCATTGCGAAGGTCACGACAGGTCAGCAGCTTTCCGCGTCGCGCCGCTTGCGAGCGAATCACGGTGGTGCCGAGGGATCGAGAAGGTTCGCCGACCAATCCGGGAGGTCCATTAGAGAAAGTATTCGTCGGAGCGATGTATTTTTCCTTCCAGAGTTATGTTGAAACCTCGTGCTGCGAAAACGATAGTACGCGCGTCGACGGCGTTCGAAAACGTCGTGCTCGAGACGAACGCCGTCGCGATTTTTCGCGAAGCTTCGAGCGAGTCATTTTCGACCTGCGCTCGGGTGCATGCAAGCGTGATATGCATTTACTCTGGCGGCTCGATCGAAACACATATGACAGCCTCCCACGTGGCGATCTGTCGTAACGGAAGAATCGCCAACAAAAGTGGATTCAAGTCGGTAAACGCTTTCGCATGCGCGCGGTCTATGTACCACTGGTGACGCGGCCTAGATTTAGCGCCCTACAATGCAACGTATGTGCAAGTTTTAGAAGCAACCCATGCACCCGATTTCGTCATGTTTCACTACTGTGCTGGTGTTTTGTTACCCATGTAAAGCAGCTGAGTAGGAGTTTCAAAAACAGAAGTGGTCACAAAAAAAGAGAACTAATGATGCACTGTATCTCACCAATCTGTGGGGGTGGATGGGATATCCAAACGTACAGCAATGATTCCACCACCAGTCCACACTTGACTGACTACCCAAAATAACCCATGCGTGGCTTGGTATCAGGTACGAGAAGCACATACTGCTAAAGCCAGCTCAACTGAAGGCAATTAATTTAATCAGGTTACAAGAACTACTCCAGATGTGATGTATCGCATGAGAACCCTTTGTGCCCACATTCAAGCTGCTAGCCTCATAGGAGCTACAGTAGGCTTCTCCAAGGGATACCTTCCCTTGCCAGCAGTCGTTCTGCGCATAAGCTCACGACACTCCTGGCAAAGAGCACATCCCAGGCACCAGGTGTGGATGCAGCAATCACACACCCTCTCGCAGAATGGATCCATATCCCTGCAGCAGTATTTCGCCTCACTCTGTAAGCAAAAATCAGGCCCAAGGAAGTTAGAGAAAAGTTATAAACACAGAGCGCGTCCAGCCATCCGTTTCCCCCCCCCCCCACCCGTTATCTATACAGCATTATCTATACTGATACTGTTGTGGACCCTGCTGAAACCGCACAAGACACGCACCTGAACACTCTATTTGTTTCGAATCGCTGTTCGTGTAGGCGATGTAAACAAGGGGATCAGATAGCCCGCATATCTAAACCCGTGTAACGCAGCAAACTCCACAACAAGAGCCAAGAGAAATAAGCTGCAGCAGCAGCCACAGCACACGCTCTCGTTGCCTGTCAGCATTTCCCGGTTGATGCCGAATAGCACACTCGGGCAAAACGAACCTATGCAACCTGGGAAGGAAAGAGAGGGACGTACGCAATGATTAGAATGAAGAAAACGAATCTAAGGAGCAAAAGCGAGCGGAAACAGAAAAGGAAAAGCCAACGATGGTTTCGTGTCCAATAAATGAAACAGGAGACGGGACGTACAGATTTTGCAATCATGGCCGCTCGCTGAATCGTTGTTGTCGAAGCAGCTGCACAGGCCCGTGTGCCACTCCGAAGGCCCCCCGTGCGAATACTCGCCATGGAATGGCGCCGTCACTGACGGTGCTGGCAGTATAGGGACGGCTTCGGGGTCACCCGGTTGGCCATTATGTGCAACGTGCTCAACAACCACACCATTCCGGTTGTACGTGTAGTAACCTGGGACAGAGGCTTCAGGCCTTATCTGAAACGAGCTGTACGATTCATGGCTCGCGAAACCTGAAGTCAGACTGGTCGTCTGCGTAGCGACACCCATTGTAGGGGTTTACGCTCCCCTACGGAAAACGGGGGCAAAACATCGGCACGACATCTGCTGTCATCGTATAAATATTGCAACAAAGCCCTTCTGCTGATCTCGGCCTAAGGGGGCTAGTGTGGTGAGGAAGACGGTCCGGGCCCGGGCCTCCGTAACTGGGCCCCGTAATGGGGATCGCGGGGACGCTGCTTGCGGCGTCGTTGTCGCCCGCGGAATGCCGGCAAACGAATCTGGGGGGGTTGGCGAAAGGTCGTTCGTGAGGATTGCGCCAGAAAACCGATCTGATATGTTCATACGGGACAGGGCGAAAAACCACGGGCGAAGGCGGGCTCGCTTGCGCTCGCTCGCGGAAGCGAGAAAGGTCGTGAGATTGCGCCAGACTAAGTAACTCTCCCTCCACGTCAGCGGGCTATCTCTGCACAGTGGCATATTTCCTGGAACATCTTATCAACAGTGCCGCGCAAGCAGTTTACTACAATCCAGTGCACACGTAACAAGGCAAGGGGTGCTGGCACTGCTGGGCAGACGAGACGAGAGACCTCTTGTCGCGTGTTTGGAGATCTCTAGGGCTTGAGCCTTGGGTAGGGTTGTGCGAAACAACAATAGGCTAGAAAAATAACGAAAGCTGTACACAGACCCTAGTATATTATGTCAAAACGCACAATGGTTCCCCCATGAAACCCCCTAATAATCCACTATTTACACTAACCCACATTTCCCCTCGAGCTTAAACACTTTCTAGAGTTTCCAGTATTTAGATCTTACCCTTACAACCGTAATGGTGAGTTCTGTAAGCAGGTTAAAACCCAGCAGATACTCTGGTAGCGACTTCATCTGCTCGCAGCGAATCAGCCATAGAAGCAGGCAAATCTCTCAGGCAGGCAGAAAACCTTTGAATTGTGAATCTCCAGGGTCCTAAGGTTGGGCGGACAAGTGATATTTTTCTATCACTCCCTTCTTGACACTCACATCAAACAACCTTGGAATTCACAGGGAAGCACAAGGTCCCTCGCTTTGACATGCATGAAGAGAGGCATTTCAAAATTCTGGAAGACTTAGCGAGCTTGCAGCATTCAGAAGATTTGAGGATGAAATGACAGGCCTTGGCATTGGTGGGATCGGTTACTTGCGGCAGGGCTCATCCACCTTCCGGGACGTCAGGTTTGAGTGAGCGGTCAACCCTTCGCTCGATTCCACGAGCCAGGTTCAGTCCTCCAGCCTGTGCATCAGGTTCGGCAGAGCCCCGATCTCAGTGGTGGAGTTTATGGCTTGGAAGACTCTCAGGTTCGGAAAGAGGCAATCCGAGTCTGGGACGCTCGAGCAATTGACTTTCACCAGTTTGAGATGTGTGATTGTAGGGGAGGCCCAGAGGGACAGCCTGATGCTCTGCTTGTTATAAGGACGTCCGTGCAGCGTCAAAGACTCTAGAGCAGGAGGGAGAAACGACTGAAGAGTCTCGTCCTGCCGCCGCCGCTGCTCCCATGCCGCAACCTCTCTCCAGTCCCCCTCGGAAATGCACAGGTCTTTTAGACCTGTCAGATGCCACAGCCTAACCCTAGGCCTGGAGCTCAGGTTTGGAGCAGCCTCGGGCATATGGAGCCGCGTCAGGCTCGGCAGGTGCCTGAGGGATGGTGGATGGGTCCTCCATCGTCCCGAAGTGAGAGTCAACGAAGTCAACCGCTTCAAGCCCGCGAAACGAGGCTCGTCCGCAGTCTCACCCTCCTCCTCCCCATTGCCCACGTTGGCCCTCCTTGCTGCTGCTGCTGCCTTTGCTGCTACCGCGTATTCTCTGCTGCTGCACAGGTTCGTCCCTAGTTCCTCCAGCTGTTCGAGCTCCCATATCGAGTCCAGAAGCAACTGGATAAAGGTATCAGTGCTATGGTAGCTAAAGTTGCGTCGAATTCTCAAGCCGCAGTGAGGCCGGCAGGCCCATAGGTTGAGAGACAGCTTCCGAAGCGAGCGCTCCAACCCAAAAAACAGGTCCGGAGAGAGGTTCGGTGTTTCATCACGCCACCAGACCTCCGAGCTTATGTGAAGCTCTTGTAACACTTGCAGTTGCGAAAGCGGAGCAGAGGAGGCGAAGAAATTCTCGTTTGAGCAGGTCACGTGAAGATGAAGTAAACGGAGGTGGGAGAGTGTGGAAGCAAAGGCGGTGGATGAGAATGAGGCAGAGAGGGGATGGTGAAGAGGTAGGGAGAGATGCAATAGTAGCCGCTGTTGTTGCTGATGCTTCGAGCCTGGTAGCAGTTCTGTGGGTAGGGGTGACTGACCCGTTGCACCTGTGAGTGGCACCGAGCCTGCCGAACCTGCCGAGCCTCCAGGGCTTCCCGAGCCTCCCGAGCCTCCCGAGCCCTCCGAGCCTGCGGCCACCGCGGATGAGGAAATTGAGGGCACGGCGCCGTCTGCCGAGCCTGCAGATGGCGAAATTGCTGTTATCAAGTCTGGCAAGTCCTGAACCGCGGCGAATTGAACCATGTCCGCTTGCACGTGGAACGATTGGAGTCGCGGGCAGGAATCGAGAATTATGGCAAGGTGTTCAGTCAAGATGGCGTTAAACACGGTGAGGTGGAATCCGAACGCAAATCCTTGGTGAAATTGGATCTGGATCCGGCAAATGCGGAGCGAGCGACACGTGGCAATCGCGGATAGCGCTTCACGCAGTTCGGGGAACGGACTTTCCTGGCCAGAAACATTTTTGACGTAGATTGGGAT